GGGTCAGGGTTTGGGGGGGGGGGGTTCTTTTGTGTTCTTGGGGTTTGAGGGCTAGGGATTTCGGATTCGGTGTCCCGCTAGGGGGCGGGGTGATTCGAGGAGTTTTTTCAAGCCTTGCAGCCATCGAGACCTTGGCTCATAATCTTACCTTGGGAGGTTCTCGAACTCCTGTCGCACCACATCATCTATGGCGAGATCGTGGTTCCAGGACCGCCCCCGGATCCTGAGAACAAGCACAGCCTTCTTGTGTCAGTCCGAACGGACCATTGTCTTCATTGGCAGGTGCAACGTACATCGAGATGGTGATCGCAACTTCGGCTTTCCGCCTCGGCATGGAAGGCAGGCGCTTCGCGTTAGAGAACATCGGCTTCCAAAACCCCTTGGTGCTCCGGCCATCCAACGATGACAAGGCAGGGACGGGTTAGTCACACCGTCCGTGCAAGTTGGTGGGCACTCTGGCGGCAGGTAAATCCAGAACTGAACCCTGGTGTGGATCTCTACTTGCAGATCCAGGAGCAAGCGCGGCTCTACTTTTTCTTCTTCTTTGCATGTTCGCATAGTGATGACATACATGCACAGTCTCCATCCGCTTGCTTGTGCAAGTGCTTGTGCCATTGCTCCGCACGTCGGCTTTCTTCATCATTGTTGAGAAAAGTGTGGACCCACCACCACCACCACCACCACCACCGATCTTGCGAGCCGCTTCCTCAAACCACTTTGAGTCAGAAGCCCTTGCTGATGGACTTATCTTCGATCAGAAGCACGGCAGGAGAACACTGGCCGCTGGTCCATGAGCAGTGTGGAGTCCGGCTCGTCCGACATCATCAACACGCATGCAGAGGGCTCGTTGAGCTTTCTGGGACCAAAGGCCGAGCGGGACAAAAGTTATCCACCATTCTGTCCTGATGATGTTGACAGCGGAGATCATCCGAGAGTGCTGCCGGTATTCTTCTATGACTTTCTCTTATGACTGCAGCTGGTTCCGTTCGCTTACCTGCTTTGCGCGAAAGCCTGAACATACCAATGGTTCGAGCCGTGCGACCGAAACCCAAACCTTATAGAATTCCGAATTCTATCAGGCCCGAAACCCTCAGCCCAAAACAACCTCGAACGCAACGTTTGGGGCAGGGCTCCTCCAGTGCTGCCGAGCTTCGGCACCTGCCGCTGGAAGAGATCCGCTCTCGCTGTCCGGAGGAGGTTGAAGACTCCCGCATGTATGCGCCTCTCGCGGGGTTTGATTTATGTAAGAGCAATACGAACGATATTACGAGTGATAATGGCAGGTACACACATTCTCCCTCTCTCTCTATATAGAATTTACACACGCACACATACATAGGTACATACATACATACATACATACATGCATGCATGCATGCATGCATGCATGCATGCATGCATGCATGCATGCCTGCCTACATACCTACATGCATACATGCATACATTCATGCATACATACATACATACATACATACATACATACATCGATGAATGGTGAGTGCCGAGGTTGACTCGGTGTGCAGTGGCTGCGAAGTTTGCTCACCCAACGATATTCGAAAATCTTAGTTGGGTTTCGGGGCTTCCAGAAGCTTGTAAATAACTTGCGAAGTTGCGATGTTAATCTTTGTCCTCTCACTCAGCCGAGGTGCCCTTTGCGAACATCGGCTTGCCTTTGCAGCCGCGCTTCCGAACGGTCCGGAGCATCAAGCGCTCCCAGGCCCCCGAAGTCCATGTCCTCCTCCTAGCCCTCCCGGTAAAAAAACCATCACATTATTATTGTTGTTGTTATTATTGTTGTTGTTATTAACTATTACTGTTACTGTTACTATTACCATTATTATTATTGTTATTATTATTATTATCATTGTCATTATTGTAATATTATCATATCCACATCGGCCGCTATCTTCATCGAGTCTCAACCGGCCGCGGTTCTGGCTGATCCTCCTCCCCAGCATCATGACCCTCCGTCAGCCCTTATCGCCAGAAAGCATCGTCTAATGTCTGTGAGGTCAGAATGCAGTCTTGACGACAGTCCCTTGTGCCGCCGATGTCAATGCACAGGACGAAATCATCGCCTGGGTGGCCGCGCAAGAGGATGGCACCAACGCCGGCTTCATCTTTGGCACCTTGGACAGTTCCAGGCTGTTCGGTTAAGGCTCCATGAGAGCTTTGTCCATGGCTTTGGGCATTTCTGCCTTACCAAGGTCCCGCCGTCATCGACGGTAGCTTCCAGGTCCGATGCCCAAAAGCCCTAAACCCTAAACCCTAAGCTGTGATTCCCTACATCCGGGCTGTTCCTCATCTCGTTTTTCTGTGCTGAGGCCAGCTGCGCTTTCCAGAATCTGGAGGCCGACCGCGGTGTTTAGGGCTCAGGGTTTAGGGTTAGGGGTTTAGGGTTCAGGGGTTTAGGGTTCAGGGTATGGGGTTCAGGGTTTTTGGGTTTAGGGTTTAGGGTTCAGGGTTTGGGGTTTAGGGTTTAGGGTTTCAGCCGCAGCTTTGTGAGCACAGGAGTGGCCTGCTAGCTAAGTCCCTTGATCCTTCCAGTGTAGCCGAAGGCCTAACCCTAAAATCTCCAAACCCCCCAAATCCCCAGAAATGAAAGCCCTAAACTCAACCACCAAACGCAAAACCCCAAACCCGAAGCCCTAAACCAACCTCGTCCATCCAAGAGGGGCTCCACGACACTTCGGCAGGCACTGCCCAGCCTCCGAATTCCGCTGTCCATCGACCGCGTGCAACTTTGGGGCCAGGGCTTCTCCCCCAAGGCCGGGCCTTGAGCATTCCACGGTTTAGGGTTTAGGGTTTAGGGTTCAGGGGGAAAGGGATTTTTGCAAGATCCTAAACCCTAAACCCTAAACCCTGAACCCTAAACCCTAAATCCCAAACCCTTCATTTGGAAAGGGATTTTTGAAAGATCCTGGGTGGTCGCTCCGTTTCCGTGGTGTTGCTGGGGAGCTTCGAGCCCTGTAGGGGTTGAGCTTTCCGGCGGATTGGGGCCAAGGGCTCCATCCAAGCTATGTCACGACAAGATAGCAGCCGTTTTGCCCTGCTCAAAGGAGGTCACCTAGTCTCCAAACCTTGGGGGAATACAAGGTCCCGGTGTAAACCCGAAGCCCTAACCTGACTTAGGAGCTACAAGTAGGGTCGAGGGCTCCTATGAGGCTTCTATCACACAAACCGCACGCTTTGCATGCAACTAACACTGCGCCCGAAAGCATCCCCGCACGTAGCCACCGAATCAACATGACCTTTACGGTTTAGGGTTCAGGCTTTGGGGATTCAGTTAGGGGTTTTAGGGTTTAGGGTTTTAGGTTTTTATGGTTTAGGGTTTTAGGATGTGTAACATAAATCACAGGGCTTAAGAGCGCATCATGCATCTGCAGGTTTGGGTGCACCACAGTCTGCTGGACAACAGCGAAAAGCAGATGGTGGCTGCCTCAGCATAACGCAGAGATGGCCAAGGGTGTTGTCGCAGAACGCGTCTGAATCATTGACACCAGGGTAGGTCGGAATGTATGTCTCCCTCGTTCTCCCGACACGGCTGTCGAATGTACTATTGATCCGCAGTGAAATTCTCATTTGGCGGTCTCACTTCTCGGTTTTCCTCAGGAGACCAATGTGCAACTAGCACGAGACGACCTGACGGTGATCCTAACGATGGTTACCGGGCACAGACAGTTTGTGATGATGTCCCCAAGGTTTCGGGGTTTATGCCTGAACTGGGGATCAACACAAGACTTGCAGCTCATCTTGTCGATTCATAGTTTTGAGGCTCCGTGTTTGAAGGGTTTAGGACTTCACGGCTCTGCAGGCCAAGAAGGTGAGGGCATCTGGGCTGACCTATATTTTGGACCTATACCATGTGGAGTTGCGCAATCACTGCCATGCTCAGAGTCAGGACTAAACAGTAGTGAGAAGCATATTGTGGATACTGACGAGAGGAGAAAGAGGGACCGGGGTAAATGTCGCAGGCATCACGGTAACAAGAACAACGCGAATCACGGTTGTGATAACGGTCGTGATGATTGTGATTAGTATCATGATTTCGACCTTCGTCCTCATCATCATCAGCATCATCACGGTCTTCATGATCATTACCGTCAACGGCAACATCATCAACATTATCATCACGACCGCCACTCTCACATTATGTCAGTAAGCGATCTCGTAGGAGCCTCGTCCCTACCCTGGCCCTGCAAGACTCGCCCAGATCTTCGTTTTTGCCGGGTTTCCTTTTCGTGACATGTAGTTGTCTGACGTTCCGAGCTCGGACTTGCCCAAACAGAAGACTCTTCTGTGGGTGCCTGCTGTCACAGATAATATAATATAGTATAACATAATATAATATAATATTATCAAGTCGCTCCCAGGATCGTATGCGCCTACGAGAAGTGCGACCGGAGCACATCGCACCCCGCTTCCTGAAGGGACGCTGTTCTTGCTTGTTAGGTCGATTCGTGTGAGGGTCGGTGTCGTGAATTGGCCTAAGGCAAAGATGCTGGCTGCTTCTGCCGGGGATGCCGACGAGGACCAAGCAGTTTCTTCCATCCATGTCACATCGAATAAGTGTCATTGTATGCACTGAACCCCATGCCGTGGCCCTAAACTCTCAACCTTCGCATCGAAAAAGCCAGGACCTGCTTGAAGTCGAGTGGGCTCCTCTCGAAGGCAAGTTGGGGAAGGAAGAAGACAAGGCCGGATTCGTAGCAGCTTCGGGGTTTAGGGTTTAGGATTTTAAGCGGAACATTGTATTCATTGCGTTGTGAACAATGAGAGTACTTGTACGACTAATGATAGAGGTAGTGCTCGGGATCGTGGCCGTCATCATGTTCCGGCGGGTGGTCACAACGTTATGACAAGCCCTTCTTCGGCTTTTATTATCCATGTATACATACATATGTACGTATACATTTATATACACATGTATATGTGTGTATACATAAGCTTTTCCTCACCGTGACAATGCTGCTTCCTGTGCAGGCCCACTTGGCACGGCCTCTCTTCGTGGGAGCAAGCGCCGCTTTGGAGCCGGTGCTGATGCGGGAGTTCGCGCAAGCAAGCTTCGTGCGTGGTGACAAGGCCTCCGGGGTGAGGGGTCTAGGGTACAGAGAGATCATAAACGGATTACTGTAAGGGTTACCATATGGGTTGTTGCGAGGGAAACTAATCAGTTAGGCGGGTTTAGGGTTGGGGTTGGGGGATGTTGGGGATAGTGGCATAAAGGTGGATTTGTCATTCGCCAGCGCATGCAGTACCAACTCTTAAATGAAACGCAATGACGCCAGCGATACCACGCTTGGGAGCAACAGCGAGAATGATGGCATCCGTGAACATTGGTTTTAATCGTCATGTGCACATCATATAATAGATTCTGCTGCGTCCCGTGCTCTAACCCGTGTTGAAGACATCAGCTAAGCAGAGCCCCTGGGCAGGAATCGTTGGAAGAGAAGCTCCAGCAAGGCGGCATCACTGCTGTGGTTCACGTGGCCGCCCTGGGAGAAGCCAACGAGATGGATGTCTTGCATTCAGCGCTCGTCTTGGCTCAGATTGCCGCCCAGCGGGCTGCTGCTAAGTCGGGCGTGCCACCCATCTGGTGGGTCACACATGGCACTCAGGAAGGTACCATCCGCAGCTACATGCACTCCGGTCTCTGGGGACTTGCACGAACCTTCCGCATGGAGGAACGTGGAGTTGAGCTTCGATGCCTGGATCTGGACGGGTCGCTCGCCACTTGCGATGATCTTGTCTCCGACTTGAAGCATTGGCTGACGGTCTTGAAGGGAACAGAAGCCGAGACGGAGGTGGTGGTTACCAGTGCCGCGAGTGGTGGATCTGCCAGCGTCTCGCGCCTCTCCCGAAGCAAGGCGATGCCGATGAAGGCCACGGAGCTCCTCATGTCCTCGCGCGGGAGCCTCTCCAACCTCAGGCGGGTTTTCCCAGCCTTGCTGCTGATTTTTGCCGGTCTCTCGGAGATTCTCTGAATCTTCATGTCTAGTAGCAGCCACGCTGATCCCCACAATCCTATGGAAATTGAAGAACCTAGAAGCCGAGCTACGCCTGGATGCAGGCCTATCACCCAGGAGTCCCGGCGGGCGCCGGAAGCGACAGAAGCGGAGCGGGCTGGGTTCCGGCTAGGAAGTAGGACATACCGACATGCTTGTTCTGCTCAGCAGTTGAATTCAAAATCGCAACAAACTAAGAAGCTGCATTCAGGCCTGGTTTCTAGCAACTTTGCTGAAGCTTGCACCTTTGGCCGGATGCATTTTAAAGGGGTCAGGGTCATTTGACCTCCAACTTTCTTGCTCGGTGTGCTTGGTGCAGGGTTCATGTCTCAAAGTGATAGCGATGCCGACATTTTCAGAAGTTCTGAGGGCTGCCGGTAGAAGCATCGCCTGATGACGGTACTGATGCCGGGAGTGCATACTCCTCGCAGGAGCTGCGGGTGCGAGCAGTCGGCCTCAACTTCAGGGACGTACTAAACGTGATGGGCAGCTTGGTCCGATCTGATGTTTCTTGTGCTTCTAGTGCATCTGTGCAGCCCGCATACTGTTTGCAATTCTACCTGAACACTGCTATTCGTCTACTCTTCACCGTGGTCGGGGTCGTAGGGGTACAAGTACCACTCGTTACTAGTACTACTGCTACACCCTGACTGCGGTTTCTCATCTTACATTCCTGGCCGAGTCGCTGTGTGAGGCCTGTATCCTGGAGATCCTGGCCCTCCTGGTGCGGACAGTGCAGGTTCAGGCCTCAGCGGCCTCTGCTGAATTGCGCCGCGCAGAGCGACGGTCCAAGCAGGGGGAAGAAGAGGTGTGCTATACCCCTAAACCCCTAACATCTGAACCCGAAACCCTATACCCTATACTATACCCCTAGACCCCTAACCTCCAAACCTGTGTCCGGATGCTCTGAGGCACCGTGCTCTCGACCGGCAGTGCGATTTCGCATATTCGCTGCTCGGAAGATCGAAGACCCGACACCTCCCCCACTCTCAAAGCACCGAACCCGCTTCCATATTAATGTGTTATCTACCTATCTACTTAATCTATCTATCTATCTACCTATCTATCCATCTATCTATCTGTCTATCTATCTACCTACCTACCTACCTACCTACCTAATCTATCTATCTATCTGTCTATCTATCTATCTATCTATCTATTTATCTATCTATCTATCTATCTATCTATCTATCTACTGAATCTATCTACTGAATCTATCTACTGAATCTATCTACTGAATCTATCTACTGAATCTATCTACTGAATCTATCTATCTATCTATCTATCTAGTATTTTCTTTTCAGGTCGTGGCGACGATGTCTTTGGCGAGTCGCCCGGGTGCCTGAAAGTCTACAACGCGGGCCCCGGCGCGCTCTTGACCCCGAAGCCAACGAGCTGGTCCTTCGAGGAGGCGCAAGAGGGGAGAGGGTTTTTGGATTTATTGGGGTTTAGAGTTCAGCCTAATTGCAGGGTTAGGATTTTAGGCGTAGGGTTTGGGGGAGAGAACTGAGCTTCGTCTCCTGTCCCCTCAGCACAGGCCTGCTGCATGCCCGTGATCTTTGTCACGGTGGAAGAGGCCTTGGGTGACTTGGCCCAGCTGAAGCGAGGGGAGCGCGTGCTCATCCACGCCGCGGCTGGCGGCGTTGGCCTCGTGGCGATCCAGTACGCGCAGTTCGTTGGAGCCGAGGCAGCCGGCTCGAGGGCTTCGGGGGTGCTAGGGGTTTGGGGCTGAGGGCCGTTTAGGGTTTGGGGTTTGGAGTTTGGGGGTCTTGGGTTTCAGGTTCAGGGTTTGGTTACGGGTTTAGGTTTTAAGGTTTGGGGTTTGGGTGTTATGAGGGTCGAGAGCTTTTAGGGCTTTAGGGTGCAGGGTTCAGGGTTCAGGGTTTGGGGTATGGGCTCAGCGTAGGAAGAACGGCTTCCAATCTGCTCAGGTGTATGCCACTGCTGGGGCTGACGAGAAGCACCAATTCCTCCGATCCATGGGGGTGAAGTACATCACAAGCAGCAGGAACGGTGCAAAGTTTGAAGATGACATGAAGGCTTTCCTGGCGGAAGCCGGCGATGATGGAATTGATGTGGTGCTTAATAGTCTCAGCCCCTTGCCCGAATATCGAGGTAGTCAGAGACGCTTAGACAGTCTGCCTTTGGGATCCCTACTATGAAACTTAGGCCATACCACAGGAAGCTACTACCGTTGTCAATTTACCCTGCCTTTATGCACCTGATTCATCCAACCAGCTTGCATCAGCTTGCTGCCTTAGGCCACGACGACTACATTCCACGATCTTTGGCTCTCCTTCGCAAGGGCGGCCGTTTCATGGAAATTGGCAAGCGCGGCATCTGGAGTCACGAGCAGATGTTCGAGGCGCGGCCAGATGTTATGTACGAAAAGATCGCGGCAGACACCATGATGGACAAGGCCGGGGAACTGTGCACCTGAGAGATGAGAGAGTTGTTTCATGCTTGTTTTGGTTAGTTTCGATTGTAAAGAAAAGATCATGAGCTAGGAGCCGTGGCGTTACAACGGTTACATGAAGCGCCTCATCAGCCGCGTGGACGAAGGCCAGAGCCCAATTTAATGGAGAGCAGGAGCCGCTTTGCTTCTCTCTGGGGCTCTTCACATGGAGTAGTTCTTCCCTGTTGTGACGTGGAAGGTGGTCTCAAGCCCATCAACATGCATGTCTTTGATGGCATGGAGACGGGAGTCAAGGCAATGCAGTTCCTCCAGCGCGCGCAGAACATCGGAAAAGTGGTGATTAGCCAAGCCAGCACTCTGGCACTCAAGCAAGAGTCCCACTATGTCCTCAGTGGAGGCATCCTGGCTTGTCTACTAAGGTCTTTTTGTTAAAGCCCAGTTTGGGTCTGATTTTTATACCTGGCGACCGGCGACCGTGTCTTATAGCCCGAAAACCCGCAAGGAATGGGAGCTCTTGGCATGGTCACGGCGCAGCTCCTTGGTTGCAATGTGCCATGGGCACCTTGCAGTTTCATGATGGCTTCAACCGGCTTAGGCGTTAGGGGTTATGGTTTAGGGGTTTAGGGGTTTAGGGTTTAGGGCTTAGGGTTGAGTCTAAAGGATGCTGTATCGCTTTAGTCTGCATGTAAAGTCCAGGTACCTCCTGGAGGAGGGGGCGAAGTCGATGACCCTGCTTTCCCGAAGTGGCCGCGGCTCGGAGTTCTGATTATGCAAGATGTGAAGCCTCTTCCCGGATCTTTCTGGGGGCAATCATGGTGGCAACGGCAACATTACAAACGACTGCAATAAGAGGAATCATAGGACAGATATTTTAGCGGTGTGCGATGCGATACTTACATCCCTGCAGCTGTAGCACGTGTGATATGGGGTGCAGTATAAGCACAGGCCGTTGCAGAAGTTGTGTCCTGATTTCTTTTCCCAGGCATTCTTGCAGGTTTGGGGGCAAGCGTACGTGATACCAAGGGCCGTCGGCAGACATTACAGAGCTCTGGAAAGCCCTGCAAGACTCCAGCGTGGAGCTGCAGGCGAGCCCTTGCGACATCGGAGTCTTGGATGCCGTGCAGTCCTTGGCCCAGAAGCTCCGGGAGGAGAAGAAGCAAACCGCTGGCCTCATCCACTTGGCGGCCGTCCTGGATGATGCCACGCTTCCCAAGCTAACCCGAGGCCACCTGGAAAGATCCTACGGGGCCAAAGTCTGGGGAGCCCGGCATCTCCGCTTTTGCCTTCAGAGCCGCCCCTGGGACTTCGCTCTGCTCTTCTCCTCGACCTCCGCTCTCCTGGGCTCGCCAGGCCCGGCTTTTTTCGTTTTCGTGTATGAGGAGCTGGACTTGAGGGGTTGTTTTTAAGAGGTTTCAAAAGAGTTTTCAAGGGTTTTTGGGTTTGGTGATCTTCACAATAAAAAGGGACCCCTTGTAGATCCGACGTCGCAATGTACATAGGGAACAGATTCGGTGCTTTTGCAGTTGGCGGGGTTGGCCAAGGTTTCTTCGAGAGACGCGAAAACAGAAATTGCCTGACTTGTATCCACGGGAGCGTTTCCAAGACAAAAGTATTGCAAAACGTTATACCCTTTTAGCACCTTCACAGCAAGCTGACATGATTCCCTCTCGATCCTCATAGTTATAGTAATGCCAGCGACGAGCACATGCACAGTTCCAAGTGGGATCAGGGTTGAAATCGCTTACAGTCTGGAGTCTGAGTCCCTAAGTTTTAAGGGCCTTAGTCTTAGCTTCCCTAAACCCTAAACCCTAAACCCCTAATTGGGCTGACGAGGTCAAGGCAACTATTCGGCGGCCAACGCAGCTTTGGATGGCCATGCACGCTACTGGAAGAAGTCCTTGCAGGAGCCCGTCGTTTCCGTGCAATGGGGGCCCTGGAAAGAAGTGGGTATGGCAGCTCAGAAGGGCACGGTTGAACGTCTTCGTGCATCCGGTGTGGGAAGCCTCACTAATGCCTTTGGCATGGCCGCTCTTGCCGGCTGCTTGCAATCGCTGCCTTCAACAACGATCGTGGCGCAACCCATGCGCTGGGCAGTGTACCTCAAGCAGTATCCGAAAGTCCCGCCCTTCCTGTCCCGCTTTGCCAGCGAGGCCGGAAGATGCTTGCCAGTGGAAGATGGTGCACAGCCCTTGCCACATGTTGGTATGTATGGATGGATGGATGAATGAATGCATAGGTACAGGTATACATATGTGTATACGTACATGCATACGTGCTTGTATATGTATATGTACATGTATATGCACATGCATATGTATATGTATATGTATGTGTGTATGTATGTATGTATGTATGTATGTATGTATGTATGTATGTATGTATGTATATGTGTATGTGTATGTATATGTGCATACAGCACATACACATATACATATCCATATGCATGTACATGTACATTTTCACATACACATACACATGCGTAGCCTGTATGTATGAATGTATGAATGAATGAATGCATGCATGTATGTATGAATGTGTGCCTGCATACACACTATCTGTCTGAACTATATCTTTATCTATGCCTATATCTATAGTATTTGTATTCATTTACATCCACAGTGTGTACATATACATATATGTATATGCATAGTTTATAAGTATATAAATAAACACACACACACACATATATATATATATGTATATATATATATAGAAAAATATATTACATACTACATCCATCCATCCATCCATCCATCCATCCATACATACATACATACATACATACCTACGTACGTACATACAGACATACATACATGCATACGTGCATAGTAGCTATATCAATAGATTGCACCTACACACGAAGCGGACACCAACAACCGCGAGCAGGTGAAGACGGCGAAGCCGAAGAAGGCCGCGGCTCCTGCCTTTGGGGGCATGCGGGCGGCCATCCCAGCCGCAGTGCCGCAGGTGGACAAGGTGCGGACGTTTCAAGAGTCCTTGGGTAAATGAAAAGATGTTCCAAACTCGGAGATGACGCAACGCAACCACTGTTCGGTGTTGCTCAGGTCACGGTAAGTAGCATAAATGCAGGTAATTCACTTCCTGGCAATGCTTCGACTTTGGCTGCCAGGTGTCTCTGAGGCAGATGCTTCAGAGCATTGCTTCGGAAGTGGCCGGTGGCGGAGTGGTGGATCAGGATGCTCCCCTCATGGACTCCGGAAGCGTTCCTGCAAACAGTCGGCTCTCACATGTAAGGCCTAGGTTTCACAGCAGGAAGAGTGCAGAAAGGGGTCTGGCCTAGGAATGGACTCGCTCTCAGCTGTGGAGTTCCGGAATCGGTTCACGAGCAAGATGCCAGGAGACTCGTGCCCAGTCCCGATCGTCCTGTGTTGACTACGGCGCTGTCTTTGCAAGACGTCCTTGACAGGAGTCAACCTGCCGAACACGCTGATTTTCGATTATCCCACCATCTCCTCCATTGCCGACTTCACAGCCAGCCAGATGGGACCAGCGCCAGGTCCGGCCAGGAGCCCAGGTTCCTTTTTTTCAGCCCGATATGCAAGAGCTTATTATCTTATATTAAATTATATCATATGATATCATATTATATTATATT